CAACACGGCCGCTAGATATATGAAACTTTCGTCAGATATAATTCAATATCCAGCGTGACATTAGCCGGGGAAGTAGTGTGAACAATAATCAAATTCTGCCACAAGAATCGCTCGTGGAAGAATGGTATTTGAAGATCAAGGTTAGAATCTAAACATTAAAAATACTTCATTTATCACTTCAAAAATTCAATGAACTTATTCGAATCAAGTATGTCCACAAACACGCAGTTCCAAACCTCTGCGAATCGCACTCTTCAGATTATTTGTTATATGAACAGAATCATCCGTGAATTGATCTGAAACCGAGGAATGTTGATTTCTGAGAGGTACTCAGCACGGTTTTCGTGTTCCCTTTGTGATTTGTTCAGTCGTACTTGCATGGATTCATACTTCAGAAAAAAATCACTGTGATGTACTTTAGAGTACTTTGACTTGATAACCGGCTCATATTCAAGTAGGCTATTTTTGAGGACATTTCGAGGTAAAACTCCATAGAAATATACAGTGTCATCCCCAAAGTATGTACCATATGGAAAACATATTTATTAAGGGTTTTTTTACAAAATCTCATCATTGATAAAAGTTTGTGCATCACCTAAAACTGAACATGCATCAACAAAATACAGTAGACACACGTAATATACGAGGAGCCTTCAAATATTTGATTTTGAGACAAGAGTAAAGTACTCTTAATTTGAAAAATACATCTAGATTTGGAATCTTGACCATCCAAGCAGAGTTTTATTTTTTCACCCATTTTTTTTAAGGGGACTACGAAAAAAATGTTTTGTTAAAACGATGAATAGCCTGTAGTATCACGAATTACACAACTATGGTGTTAACCACGGTCAAGTTTTTTGAAGAGTAAAATAATTTTCAAAGTTTTTGGTGCAAAGATATTTTAATTTTTTGTCAACACCGAAAATTTCTCAAAATTATACTGTATTGTAACAGTAAGAACATAATATTCAATAATATCAAATCACAAAACATCAAACTAAAATAGGTATTTTGGAACTCATTGTCTAAAATAATTCTCCAAAATAATCTCCAGAAAATCAATGAGTTTGTTCCAAAATACCTATTTTAAATTGATGTTTCGTGATTTGATATTATTGAATATTAAGTTCTTGTTACAACACCTACTGTATAAGTTTGAGTAATTATCGGTGTTAACAAAAAATAAAAATAACTTTGTACCAAAAACTTTGAAAATTATTTTACTCTTCAAAAAATTGACCGTGGTTAATTAACACCATAGTTGTGTAATTTGTTATATTGCAGACTTTCACAATGGACCGTCGTATACAGGATCTGTCTATTTATCGTTTCACCAAATTTTTTATTCGTAGTCCCTATTAAAAAAAAAATTGTAAAGAAATGAAACTCCAGTTGGATGGCCATGACTCCAAATCTAGATTTATTTTTCAATGCTGAACAACTTTTCTGGATAATATATTCTTGGATTTTCCAAAATAAGAGTACTTTACTCCTGTCTCAAAATCAAATACTTGAAGGCTCCTTGTATTTCGTTGGTGCATGTTTAGTTTCAAGAGATGCACAAACTTTTTGTCGAAAACCCCTTAATAAATAAGTTTCCCATATATATATTCTGCGTCGTAAAACGAAATTTTCACGTGTCAGTGGTCTCTGTACTGAATCGTTTTGAAATAGAAAGTGACGCCCCTGATTTTCAAAGATTTGAAATACTCTTTTCTGAGTAAATCGTGTCTCTAAATTTCAATTATTTTCAAACAATTTTTGAAGGTAATCATTTTGGAAATTATGAAAACATAGTAATCTAAATAATTAATGAAGAAGAAATGAAACTTTGTATGTTTTTTACCACTTTCATGTAGTATGATTATGATTTACTACCACGTAGTGAAGGCTACATCCATCAATTTACATTCTCAATAAGGTTTCAAATGCTAGCACAAAATTACTTTTAATATAGAGGAGTTGAACATATGGAATACTGAAAAATTCATACACTTCCAATTATACATGTTTCTGATCAATTTTTCAATATTTGCTGATGGTGAGCAGGAGAGTGGAAGCTATCCCCAGTGGTTGAATCCACAATTGTTACCGTAACCACAGTTTTCAAATATATACTTGAGAAAAAAGGTGATACATTTACTAGGTGAGTTCGGTATCAACTGTAGAATTATTGCAAGAAGCATTTTGTTCATTGCTCAGAAATGACGGCAATACTATCATTTCAATATTCTCTAATACTCAACTCCGGAACATACAACTGGATGAACATAATTTTCTATGTCTAAACTCAGAAACTGAAGGCACATCTGCTCAGAAAACAATAAGAATAAAAAAAATAATATTCACTCCAAGATGAAATGCTGGTGTATTACTTTCATCTTCAAATTCATTTAGTAAAATCCCCCATGGGCGCCACTGGCAGGATGAATTAATATTTTGTACAACAAAAAATTCCTTCTAATACATGAAACAACCTTCATTCATTTCAAGAAATATCCAAAATCATACATATGGGTTCATCCTGGAATTTTAGTACTCGGCATTTCAAAAATCAGGAGCTCTTGGGCATATGGATACAAAGTGGATACAAAAATGATCCAAATATTAGAATGTCATTGGAAAACATCCTTTTTTTGAAGCAAATTTGTACATCAAGTGACTATTCTAAATGACTCAGACACGATTTACCCATAAAACAAGAACTCATATTATTTCCAAATTATTTTCCAATGGAATTGGCCGATACTTGATGAAAATCCATTACTAACATATTCAAAATACACTTTATTGTGAGATCTTCACTACACCATTTTACAAAAACGCAACACGTGTTTCGCCATACAATGGCTTCTTCGGACACGCTCGAAGAAGCCTTTTTATGGCGAAACACGTGTTGCGATTTTGTAAAATCGTTTGGTGAAAATCTCAAAATATAGTGTATTTTGAATATTTTCAAATTGATGAGCAAAATTATATTTTATCAAACAACTAGTTTTCGTCAAATTCGATAAAAAAATCTTTTATCCGCTGGCCGCCCTGATGAAAATGAATAGACATGAAAAAATTATTTTGCCATTCAGAATCATTACAGTGGATCATAGTAGAAACGGGCATGGAAATTTCCGCAAATTCCACATTGTGATTTATAATTGTTTCTTGAGTCAAAAAATTTAAAAATGAACATTTTCAAAATTTGAAATTGATTTTTGGGAAAAAAAGTTTTTGGCTTTCTACTACTCCATCTTGATACAAAAAAATGTGGGAATCTTCCAAAGAGAGGAAGGAAGCAATCAATCTTAAAATAAGTAACTCTATACATGGATGTGTAGATCATGCAAAGAAGCAACTTCCAGACACAAACTGTAAGAAAGTCCTCCTGAAACAGCTACTTTCATAAAAACATTGAATTACACGAAAGAAAAAAAATCTTTCGAAACAAATACTTTTATATGATCACTGAATTATAGAGAAGATACTTTTCTCTACTGTTTGTATTCCAAACAATCGTTATGGAATAAAATCAGATATCATTCACATGAGTCCTACTTTAAATGAACAAATTGCACTTACATGGAACACTGTCATCCTCACTGGTAGACATCGATGTTTCGCCGTAAGACACTTGCCCCAAGGCTTTTCAGTACCAATCTGGATAACATTATAGAAAATACACACAATTCAATCATGAATCGCGATTTTTTATGTCACGGAATAATTTTGATCTACTTATGTCATCGATGGCATCGTGATGACATTCATTCACATGATATAATGTAATATAATGGGATTGATGGATATGAAAGTGACCAAAAAGTAGAATATGCAAAGACTTTCATCTCCACTAGAACTGTGTCACTGTTCAGTTGTAAAATAATACGGAACCACGATCCTTCAATTGAAAAGATGCTTCCATCTTCAAAAACCATTTACCAATATCGAATCACATTCTGACACACATAATATTTTAGTTGTTATCACTTATGTGATAAATTTGTTGAAACATTTTAATTGATTTGAATATGATCATCAAAGGAATGTTCAGAAAGGGTCAAATACTACTTGTTAAGGAATAGATAACTAAGTCATCGTTCATTAGTGAAACAATAAAAGACCCTGGTCCAGACGATTCACATAACTATTAACCAAAATCAAACATGACGTTCTATTATATCATTCGAAACGACGCCTTCCGGAACAATAAAATTTCTGTTCTACTTTCAGTTCAAATAATATTTTCAATTCAAAATGATGTGAATAGTTACCTGGTCTATGTCCAACATTTTTCAATGATATCTATGAATATTTTCTGGTCAGCTTGTTCAGCTATCAGTTTCTCTTCCTTCAGACCAGTTAATACTCCCAAATCTACAAAATCGTCAAGGGATTCAATTTCATGGCGCACGGTCTCCTCTAAGATTCCACCCGTCAGCTCTTCCTGTTCCTGACATGTATGCAGTCTTCAGGTAGAAAGGCTAGCTTCTGTGTGCCAACGGAAGAACTGCGATGTCTTGCTTCCATAGTCGTGCATGTATTTTGTGGACAACCCTTAAGCATTGATGGTATACCGAATTTGTTTGTACTCAGAAGTCCCTGGGTATGAATGCACACCCAGGTATAACCCAGTATGACTTCGGGTGCTATGTAGAACCAAGTTTGGACTTATGATGCTAACATGTTTTCCTCATTTACCAGTATCCATGATCGAGCATCACATTTTTGGGTTCCACGTGACCAAGGGCTGCAAGTGAACTTCAAATCTGCGATTTTTTTTGGGGTGATGGCATAGTGCGTTTGCTCTGGAAAATCAGATTCCCGGCTCTTTTTTTCAACCAAGTTGAGCGTTTTTTTATCCTTATCATCCTGGGGATCCCTTTCTACAAGAAGACTAGACTTGTTGAATTGAATCATTTTAGGTGACATATTTCTACCCACCGACGATGGCCCTATGTCGTCATGGTCATCTTCACTGTCTGAAATTGACGACATAGGGCCGACGATGGCCCTATGTCGTCATGGTCATCTTCACTGTCTGAAATTGAATCCAGTATCTCGTTCATCGGCGAGGTACCATGGACTGTCACCTCTTGTTGGAAATCATAAGAGTAACAGTCAGTAAATCTTCAAACGTCGTTGAGCGTTGCAGGTGAACTTCGAATCTGCGATTTTTAATTACTGGGATAATTGGCATAGTTCGTTTGCTCCGAAGAAGTAAATTCTTGGACCAGGATAAGCGATTATTGAGTCTCATCATCCTGAGATTCGCTTCCTGCAAGAAAATTTGATTTGTTACATTGAATTTTTTTTGTGAGATATTTCTACCTACCGACGATGGCTCTTCACTGTTTGATATTGAATTTACTTTTTCGTTCACCAGCGAGGTATTACAGAGTTTCACCTCTTGAATATTATAGGACTAACAGTCAGTAAATTGTTCGAACGTCACCAAGAGCTGTAAGAGAACTTCAGATCTGCGATTTTTCATTTCTGACATATTGGCATGTCTCGTTTGCTCTGAAGAAGTAGATTTTCGAGACATTTTTCTAACCAGGTTAAGCGATTGTTGATCCTCATCTTACTGGGAACCTGAAAAAAAAACTATGAGTACTTCTGAAGCAAATGTATTGAAAGTTTTCAAAAATGAATATTTCAATTGAACGCAACAACTACTCACCAAAGGATATTCACACTGTCCTTGGAGTTTTTGCTGATGGCCCTCAGTGACGGTATTTTTCTCAGTGGACTGTGCAGGTGATGGACAAATTTTCAGAGACAAGCAGCCTCCAACATCTGCAAATTTTCGCATTCACTGCAGTCTACTAGATGATCCATTGAGATGAAGTCATGGTCAAGAGCTTCAGTTGTAGTAATGCGTTCTACGCACCGACGATGGCTCTTTGTCGTCATCATCATGTTCACTGTCTGAAATAAAATCCACTATCTCGCACTAGCTCGTTCACCGGAGAGGTATCACGAACTGTTACCTCTCGTTGGATATCATAGGGGTAACAGTCAGTAAATTATTCAAACATCGTCGAGGGCTGCAGGTAAACTTCAGGTCTGCGATATTTTTTCATTGAGATAATTGGCATAGTTCGTTTGCTCTGGAGAAGTAGATTTTTGGGCCAGGTTGAGCGGTTATTGATTCTCATCACCCCGAGATACGCTTCCTACAGAAAGAATTGATTTATTGAAATGAATCATTTTATGTGAGATATTTCTACACACCGACGATGGCTCTTTTTCGTCATCTTCACTGTCCGAGGTATTACAGACTGTTACCTCTATTTGAATATTATAGAGGTAACAGTTAGTAAATTGTTCGAACATCACCGAGGGCTGAAAATTAACTTTAGATTTGCGATTTTTCTTTTTTGAGATAATGGCATAGTGTCTTTGCTCTGGAAAATCAGATTCCCGGGCCTTTTTTCAAACCAGGTTGAGCGGTTTTTGATCCTCATCATCCTTGGAATCGCTTTTTACAAAAAGAATGGACTTGTTGAATTGAATCATCCCTTGTGACATATTTCTACTCACCGACGACGGCTCTTCGTCATCATCATCATCTTCACTATCTGAAATCAAATCCACTATCTCGTTCACTGGCGCGGTATCACGAACTGTTACCTCTTGTTGGATATCATAAGGGTAGCAGTCAGTAAATTGTTCAAACGTTGTCGAGGGCTGCAGGTGAACTTCAGATCTGCGGTTTTTCTTCATTGAAATGATTGGCGTAGTTCGTTTGCTCTGAAGAAGTACATTCTTGGGCCAGGTTGAGCGGTTATTGATCCTCATCATCCTGAGATACGCTTCCTGCAGAAAGAAGTGATTTGTTAAATGGAATTATTTTAAGTGAGATATTTCTACCCACCGACGATGCCTTTTTGTCGCCATCGTCATCTTCACTATCTGAAATCAAATTCACTATCTCGTTTACCGGCGAGGTATCACGAACTGTTACCTCTTGTTGGACATCATAGGGGTAACAGTTAATACATTTTTCCGATGCCATTGAGGGCTGCAGGTGGCTTTCAGATCTGCGATTTTTCTTCATTGACATAATTGGCATAGTTTGTTTGCTCTGAAGAAGTAGATTTTTGGGCCAGGTTGAGTGGTTATTGATTCTCATCATCCTGAAATACGCTTCCTGCAGAAAGAATTGATTCGTTAAATTGAATCGTTTTATGTAAAATATTTCTACCCACCGACGATGGCTGTTTGTCGTCATCGTCACTGTCTGAAATTGAATTCACTTTCTCATCCACCGGCGAGGTACTACAGACTGTCACCTCTTGTTGAATATTATAGGGGTAACAGTCAGTAAATTGTTCGAACGTCACTGAGGGCTGCAAGAGAACTTTATATCTGCTATTTTCCTTCTTCAAGATATTGGCATGGTTTGTTTGGTCTGGAGAAGTAGATTCTCGAGCCCTTTTTTTAACCAGGTTGAGCGGTTGTTGATCCTCATTATCTTGAGGTACCTGAAAAAAAAAACTATGAGTACTCCTGAAGCAAATGTATTGAAAGTTTTCGAAAATAAAGTTTACAATTGAACGCAACAACTACTCACCAAAGGATATTCACAGTTTCCTTGGAGTTTTTGCTGATGGCCCTCAGTGACGTTATAATTCTCAGAGGACTCTCCGGGTGATGGACAATTTCTCAAGGGAATTTTAGTGCAAGCAGCCTCCAACGTCTGCAAATTTTCTTCTACATAGTCGCAATCACTGTAGTTCACTAAATGGTCCATAGAGATGAAGTCATGGTCAAGAGCTTCAGCTGGAGTAATGCGTTTTGACTGAAATTGAAAAATATCCATAAGTGTCCAGTGAAATGTCATTACATTTCATCCCAACTTGAGAGTTTTGAATTTCTCATGAAACTTTTATTTCAGAATTTCAGTAATATCAAGTTTTTCTTCAATTCCAGAACGACGAGTGCTGGTTTTACAGAAAAGCTGCTCTTTTTTGTGTTCACATCGATATGGCCCTGATATTTTTGTGAAGAGATGTATACGACATATTCTACATCGCTAAACATAATTTTCACCTACAGAGATTGAGGCTACTGATTTTTATAAGATTATTTTCGAAATCCTCATGAATTGTGTCACATATTGTTTTTTACAACAATACTTTCGAAAATTATAAAAATTATAAATTTTGATAAGCTACTATAGAACCACACGGCAACTTTGAACAAGTTAACCAAATGAAAAACTTAAAACATCATCCACTTGCAAATATGCAAGCTTCTGAACTATTTGTCAATAGTCTTACTGTGAAAAAGATCCCTACTAATATTATAATCCGTACTAGCCCTACTAATATTATAAACGCGAATGTAAGTTTGTCGCGATCATCATTAAATTTCGTACACATATTCTTGGAGGTATAAGAAGTAACATAGAATACTTTTAATTTGCAAAAGTATTTTTCATGTAAGATTAGAAAATTGTTTGTCAAAAAAATCTCAAAATCTACCTACTTTAACGTCATCTAGCATTCCAGTTATGAAGTTCCAACCCTTAGTACCGTATTACCGTCGCACTGTATTATTCACCCTCACGACAATATCCGATCCAATCCAATTGACTATAGTTTCAGCTGTTTGGTATTTTTCTATATTTATTCTTCTGTCACCCGCGAGCAAAGCCGCGGGTAAACGCTAATCTATTTATAAAGCTGATTTACAGAATAACATATTATCACTAGTCAAATTTTGTGACTACACGATCTACAAGTTGGAGATGACAGTAGAAATTCAGTTGTCAGACTCACAGATTAGGAAAATAGCTGATTCTGCATCATTGACCAAAATTCTGATACGAGTTTTTTGGAATTCATTAGGAGGTACGTCTCGTGGCACCCAAGAGAACATCCCATTTCCATAAGCGGTTGTCACAGTTTAGTCTATAGGTATTGATACTACAATTATATAGAAGGATTTTTTCGAAAATGCGATCATTTGAATATTTGGTTGGAATATTCGCTGATACTCCATTTTGGAACATACAAAAGAATGAAGATAGTTTTTCATGCCTCAACTCATGAATAATATTCACATCAAGAAAGAGTGATGGCATATCACTATTATCTTCGAAGAAATTATTTTCTGATGAAGAACTTTGCTTCAGGAGAGAACACTCCACTGAGTTACAGGTTCTAAGGCTGGTCGAAAACACCATCCAAGAGCGTAATACCAATAAAAAAGTGCATATTCTATTACTAGACATTTCGAAGGCCTTCGACCGTGTTTGGCGTGTGAAGATATCTATGTACGCTGATGACACGGCTCTTCTCTCATCTTCCATGGGTCGGGAGCTCGGTGTCGTCTATATGCAACGTGCATTGGACGACCTCCAGCGCTGGTACCTCGATTGAAAGATTCAGGCGATAACCATGGAAAGATTGCTATCTTCTCTGGACGGGAGATTGACTGGCAAGCGCGGATGACGTACCTAGGCCGTCTAATAGACCGTAGGCTCACTTGGAACCCGCACATTATGTACGTCAAATCTAGGATCGAGGGTCAGATTGCAAGTCTGTACCCTCTGATTAACAGAAAATCAAAAATGAGCTTGAAAAACAAGATAACCATCTACAACACGATGTTCAAGCCTGTCATCATATATGCTTCAGGCGTCTGGGGACAAGCGGCGATATACAATATCTCCATTCTGGAGGTATTGCAAAATGAACTAATGAAGATGATTGTGAACGCTCCTTGGTTTGTGCGGAATGAAGCCTTCCGCAAAGATTTGCAGCTGCCTTCCATGCGGCAGTCCATCCAGTCGCGGAATCGGCGAGTTTTTCGAAGGTGCGAAAACTCACCAAAACCCGTTAGTTAGGAAAGTTATAGGCTATGCTGTAGGCGACCCCTTCCGATATAGAAGGCTCCGACACTCTGTCGAATGAGGCCCTAATGTCCCCCGTTAACGAACGAATAGCTTTTTCATCCATTCAACCCCAGCCAGGTAGAGGTATCTCGTAAAGAGCGATACTGATGTCTGAGGACTCCATACCGTCATCCCCTCAGTCATGAACCCATTTGTCCTTCTTCGACAAAAATCAGCCAAACGGGTAAGGGAGCTGGGCTCCATCCCGATTGAACTTAAGACGTTGGTCAGAAATTATCTTATTTGCAAATTGATTAACAACCTTATTATTGGGTGAAAGAGGCTTTGGCTTCATATTTTTCCATCTTTATATATGAAACTGTACTATATATAACTGGATATATAAAGAACATTATTTTGGGATTGCAGTCAGATTCTGGGCGTTATTCCAAGAAAACTCTTTGTTTTTGTCAATCTTTCGGTAGTGCTTACCACCTTCCTCAGGACAACTGAAATATATCCATTAACAATATGTTTTTATATCACAAACGGAACTTCTTACTAACGTGAGATTGAGAAAGAAAATAAGTATCTCTACAAAACATAAAACATTTCTTTTTTGATGGAAGTGACAATAATTTTAAGGAGGAAAATTTTGATAAGAATAATAATACCTTATAATAATACACATACACATACGTGGGAAATCATAATTTCATATTAATTTTCATGTAACATCTAGAGGGCGCTGCGTACATTGTCATTATTTATTTCAAATTGCACCAAATTTTTGAGAGTAAACTTTTTGTACTTGTACCAAAAGTTTATATTTTTACTTGAAAAAGGTGTGTGATTTAGGTTTTTTCATGAGTACGCAGTGTTTTCTAGATGTTACATGAAAATCAATATGAAATTAGGATTTCCTACTTCAAAAACCCCGGACCTGTATAACATATAACTCATTTTTTGCAAAAGTTATTTTTGAAAGACGAACAGAAAATATCAATTTCATCACCCTGTATTTCCAGAACGAAACATTCTCAGGCATAAAGTTTTTTCTCAGGAATATCTGAGACATTTGTATATTTTCACAAACTTATGTTACACCCTGTATATACCACAAATATACTGTCTTAAAATCCTGTAAATGTTATCTGATTCGATTTCATAACGAATATTTGCAGTACTAACTGGATAGAAAAAAGTGTATTTGTATAATTCAATGTTCATATGAAAGTAGTTGTTTCGAGAGGACTTTTTCTTCTAGTTTTTGTCTGAAAGTTACTTCTATGCATGATATGAACATCTCTGGTTTCAATTTTCTGACATGGCTTGAGGTACTTGATTCAGTTTTGTTCCGGTAATAGCCAGCTAGTTGCAATTTAGAGTAATTGAAAAAAAACGAGCATGAAAACTTCCGAAAATTCTACATTGTGATCTATAATTGTATCTTGAATCCAAAAATTCAAAAATACATATGGCGTTACATTTCTGAATTTGTACTAATCTAAATTTGTACTTCAAAGGGGTGTTTCAAATGAGTCAAATGCTATTTGCTCGTGAAACTAAAACTGAATCAGGGTCCAGTAGTAGAGAAAATATGGGGCCACGATCCAATTCAAAAACCATTCACATATATCAAATCGCATTCTGACATACATATTATTTAAGATGTTATGACTTATCTGAAAGATAAGCAAACCTGCCATCGGATGCCTGCTTCTACGTAGCCCCGCTGGATACGGGAATGACAGAATCACTTGTGGTTATGTTATTCCCTAACTGAATGGTATCCCAACGGTGGCCTAATCCTGAGGTGTATGTATCCGCGCCGAGAGGATGAATAACACTGAGCCTATCAGCTGTCTCTACAGAACCTTCGAGATACAGGGCGCCCTCTCGTCGTAGCATCACCTTGTCACGGTAATGCGGGGCTCCGCCGTGATTGACCTTCTTTTCCTAGCTACTCGTGGGACTTTTATAGACATGGTGAACTTAAAAAAATATTTCTGACGCTGAGTCTATAGAGGAGATGGATGTCGAGTTTACGACTCCAATTGACCTCCCTGCAAATTGTATTTAGGAGCTGGAGCTTGTCATCTCCTGATCCAATAACTGAACCTAAAAAGATGGTTTGATGGTGCAGCCAGGAGACATCTCCAAAAGAGCGGGGTAACTTATAAAACCGCCTTGCACCAAATTCTTGATCGGCGTACGCAGAATCTGTCTCAGGTGGAGGAACAAACTCCCCATGAGCAAGTTTGCAAACTTTTGCGCTCAAGTAATGATTCACCAAAACCAGAGGCGAAAAAGCCCTGAACGGTTGAATCTAAGGCATCATCAAGTTTAGCTGACCTGCAAAAACCGTCATATGGGAAGGTTGTCGCGGGTATCAAGGTGGATATCTTACACCTTGACTATCCGACTACCTCATTAACGATGAAACAGCAGACCATATACTTTGTGCCTGCCCCGCTGGGTTTTTAGAGTTCGGCAGAGCCGTACTCTTACCATCTGACCTGAAAGACCACCAACCATACAAACTAATCGGCTTCGTTAAGAAGCTGGGTTATTTGGTCGAGTGTGAGCCACAATGAACCCTTGCGGGTTACCGTGGAGGGTCGAATTGACCCACTAACTTTGAACCCAACCTAACCTATCTGAAAGATTCGTTAACACCTTGTATGTGAAGTGAATTTGTTCATAAAAGGGATATACAAAATGGTGGAATACTATTTGCTCAGGTAACAAGAACTGAGTCATCGTTCATTACTGAAAAAACTGAGAGACCACGATCCAGATGATTCACGTAACTAGTTACGAAAGTCGTATATACCTATGACTTTCTAGTATATCAACCGAAACAATACCCTTTGAAACAAAAAAAAACAAAAAAAATAGCTGTTTTAATTTCAGATCGAAGAAAAAATTCAAATCAAAATGATGCAAATATTTACCTGTTCCATAGCCAACATTTTCTTGACGATGTCTATGAACATTTTATGGTCGGCTTGTTCGGCGGCTAGGTTATTTCCCGTCCAGCTAGTTAAAGCTCCAAAATGTATGATCTCGTCAAGGGATTCAATTTCGTGACGCAAGTTCTCCTTAGGGTTTTCACCCGTCAGTTCTATATTTTCCTCATATGTATTCAATCTCCAAGCAGGAGAGCTGGCTTTCGTGTCCAAACAAAAAAACTGTGAAGTCTTGCTGCCAAAGTCTAACATTCCTTTTGTGGGCAATCCTTGGGCCTCAATAATATACCGGAGTTGGGTATACTCTGAAACCCCTGGGTACAAGGGCACACCCAAATATAACTCGGCCAGTATGCAACCCAACGACCACATGTCAATTGCTTCACAAAATGGGAGGCCCAGTATGACTTCGGGGGCCCTGTAAAAACGAGTTTGGATATATGCTATCCCGTTTTCCTCGTTTGTATACAATGAGCTCCCGAAGTCGATGACTTTTATCCGATTGGGCAGTCCTACAGGGTCAACCAGCATTATATTGTCTGGTTTCAGATCGGTATGTATGATGCCCAATTGCTGAAAATGAAAGGGAATGGTTACTGTAATCAATTCGGGAACATTTAATTTCTGAAACAAACCAAATTCCAACTCTTTTTATGATAGGATCGACATATGATTGTTATGAAGGTGTCCAATAGGTTTCTGATATGGTACATGTAGATAATATTTGTTTGTTTCTCACATCTAGTGAGTGCAGATCTATTTTTTCTATAGGGAAAAGTGAATGAGGAAAAAACGTATTTCCGTTGGTTTGACATCTATAGTCTATTTCAAAAGAGTGTAGAGTAATAAAATCTCATTAAGTATTCAAAAGCGCTACAGGGTGATCCGTCAATAAATTCTGTCACTTCCCTAGTCCGCATTGCAAAATTATGTCGTTTCATAAAGAGCAGGTAGGTATCACCCTGTTTTAAGGGATTTGTCCATTGTTATCGACGGATAAATACTGAGCCAGAGGCGCGCTAGTGGGATAATTGCCAAAAGAATATGCATTCATAAAAATTATATTAAAGGAAATAAAAATTTAATACAGCAGAACAGTGTTATTAAAAAAATATAAAATGTAACAATAAAATATATACGAACCGAAATCGGGAAATACTCACAAACACACACGAACGAACTTTACGTATTGAAACACTTGTGGGGACTTTAAATCAATTTATTCACAAAAACGACAAGAACTTTACTGGATACGTTATTACAATTTGACACTTGAACAATACTAAAACTGTGAAC